TGTATCACTGTAGTGTCACTAATCTAAAATTCTTTCATTAGTGAGGGAGTGACGGAGGGGGGCAAAGCCTCAAAACAAGCTGAAGCCTAAATCTGTGGTTGTCTTCTACTTGTCTTTTAGTGCTGGAGATAGAAACAGAGAGAGGACGGTGAGGACACTCCAGCACAGATACCGGCTGTAATGTTACACACCACTGACTTCTAGTCATGCAAACAAGCACACCTTCCATCCAATACATCACTTTGCAATCACGAGAAATAGAAATATAAGACAACCAACCAGAAAAGAATAAAAGAAAAAACAGATTGAGTGTGACACATTCTATGCAGGGAAGTTGCTTCTTGCAGCTCAAGAGAGAAAAGATGAGGGTCTGCTTCTACACATTCAGCACAGGGATTTATCTAGTGACCAATGAAGCACAATACCACTCTACTTCAACCAGTGGTGGGCCGTCAGGGCCAGCAAGGCCTTCTCTGCTGACCTAAACAGAATCACAAAGTTATAGCTATTTTATAATTTAATAATTTTTCATAAATACACAACATGCATTACAATATTTTCCCCATTATCTTATTTCCTCATTGCACAGCTACTGTCTTCCTCAGTTGCTCTGCTTCCAGTGCAGCTTGTTTTAGGTAGAGCTTTTATCCAATCAGATTTCACCTCTGTGTCTCTATGTAAGAAGAGAGGCCCGAGGCCTGCAGACTCACAAGTGAATCCCTTTGCACTTTAAGTGAATGGGGACGATATTGTTGATTGTCATAGTGTTCAACCAATCAGATCTTTAGTTTGACATGTTGGGCGTATTCTTTGACGTGTCAGAGCCTGCTAGCTGGCCTACAAATACGTGATTGGTCAGTGGGCTAGCGTAACATGCTGGGCGGTGACAATCCCAATATCTGCTGCCTCTGTCGAGCAGACATTTTCAGCCTCAAACACATTAAAACGTATTCAAGAAATACAACTGGGGAGGCTCGACTGTCTTCACTGGCGTCCATGAATGGAGAAGGACTTCTTACTGGAACTAAAACTCACGGATCTACTGAACAACCGTGAGATTAAACTCTTTATTAACAAAGCTCTGGGGACATATTTAGTCGGTGCACAGCAACAAGAAGACACGTGAAGCGGCAGAAGTCTATATACTCCGTGCAAAGTGTTAAAGTTAAGTTTAAGTTTTTAAGTGATCATCTTTGAAGATTCATGTGTTTTCATATGGACTCATTTTCCCTCTCGGTGTTGACAGACTAATAAATAAGTCAGTAACAAGAACTGTGGAGTCGTGTATTTCCTGGAGGAAGTGATAGGAGAGTTACTACTGTGATAATGTGTCTATGGTGTCGTTTTTATGATATGGTTAATATTGTTCCCTCTGATGTGAAAATATTTGAATGGCCCGTGCTTATCAGTGTGCGGTGGAATACGTGTTTTAGCTCCGCAGTTTTTTGTAATGCAGTGTCCATTAATGACGCAGCATTCCGTGCGCGTATTCATGTATCTGCACTCTGCAGTTAGTGTATTTGTAGGTGTTGAGCTTCATTTTTACACAAAACAAATAATAACCGTAGCTGTGGTGTCATAATGAGGTTAGGTGGTTCAACTGCAGGACAGCAGTGAAGGCCCAGGTATAAAATGCATGGCCCACCACTGACTTCAACACGTTATTTCTATCCCATATAAGGTAAATAATAATTAATGAATTATACAAACTCTATAAGCCAGAGTAAAGGATAACTCCGGGCTCTCCATGCCTTCTCTAGGTGCACCACTACCGTGGCGGGACCTCCTCTACTTCTTTATGAAGGTCTTCTTCTACCCGTCCCTCCCCTAATGTCGATGCAGGCCACTTCAACCACACTTCACTTGTAGGGTGCATGATGCTAGCATCATTATTTTTTAGTATTTATTGTTTGAACCAAATGTTGTACAAAACAAAGAAGTTGCATAGCTATCATTTTCCAATGAGATAAATACTTACTTCCAGGCGTCGAATGGTCTTCTGTTTACGTCAAGTGGTGCTGCTACCATGGGTGCTTTTCAAAGTGCTTTGTGTCCTCTTTCCTCGCTTGACACGGAAATAATGTCCCTGCCCGTGATCATGGAGGATCTTCCAATCCCTTCACACTGGTGCATCTATCCAATGAGATGTCGATGCAGGCCACTTCAACTAAACTTCACCTGTAGGGTCCATGATGCTCGCATCATTATTAGTTATTATTTAAACAAAATGTTGTCTATCTACTTAGATAGAAAAGAGTGTTTGTGTGTATAATATATATGACTCAATTATATATGTCACACATTATTTGTATCGTACTTTTCATACTAATATGTGTAGTGCTTCACACTATACAATACATAAAAGGCTATTATATCCATTTGTATGTGAACGAATCAGAGAGCATGCGCATTTACGCAAGAAACAGCAGGGTAACTTCATTCATGTAAAAGTTTAGTTTTGAACTTGACGGAGGAAGCAGAACGTAAGTTAGTTTTGGGGCTAAATGGGATATTTGTATATTTATATCATATAGATCGACATCCGTCCATTCATGGTACATTATGCCATGTTGTGAATTAAATTAAAAGTAAATATGTTATCATGAACATTGTTATGCTCATCTGACAGAAATCATAAAATGCAGCGGTATATCAAAACAATGACGTGTGTCACACGCCATATTCAATTGACTCTTTAAAGATGTCTCATTTGATAAATGTCTGTTGCCTCGACTCCTCTCTTCTTGCTTCTCTTTCTTGCCTCCTCAGTTTGAATCTCTCGCGGACGGGACAAAGACGAGAGGAGGGGAGGCAAGGAAAGGACTCGAGGAGACACGTTTGCATATTAGAAACCACCCCATGTCCTTTTGTCAGTGTGGGCCGTGCATTTTATACCTGGGCCTTCTGTGCTGTCCTACTACAGTTGAATAACCTCATTATGAGCCACAGCTACGGTTATTATGTGTTTCTAGGGGTGTAACGATACACGTATTGGTATTAAACCGTTCGGTACGAGGCTTACGAACCGAACAATACATTTGAAAAATAATAGTGCATTTGGAAAATGCAGAAGCTTAAATTGTGGGAAATATGTTTTCGGTGGACTGCACTCAGGTAACAGACAACGGGCTGTGTGACCTTTCAACCCGGAACTAAAAAAAACATAAAAAACAGCTGAGGCTACTCTAAACTAGCTTAATGGGAAAACAACTGTGGCAAACCCCACGATGACGGGATAGTCAGAATCAATGTAATTAACACAATGACAAGAACCAGAACCAGTCACATATATTTATATGACAACAAAGCATGACACATCAATCCAGCAACACTGCAGCGCTAACACGCGTATTCATCCGCACACTAAGGAGCACGAGCCATTCAAATATTATTCACATCAGAGGGAACAATATTCACCATATCATAAAAAATGACACCATAGAAAATCTAACAGTAGTAACGCTACTGTTAGATGTAAAAACACAAAAACACTTCACTTAAAGCTGCTGTTCACTTAAATACAAAGTCCATCCTCCTTTCTTTGTTAACAAAGAGTTTAATACCGCAGTTGTACAGAACATCGGTTCAGTTCAGTTCCAGTCAGAGGACCTCCTGAACGTGTTCATTGAGTTGTAGATCCACTCGGGTCTCAGCAAAAGTTTCATTCTTAGCCATAAAATGTGCAACGCTTCTCCGCCGCTGTCAGCCAGAAATACTGTTAGTACAAATCCTTTTCCATGCTAGCCGTGGGGGTGAACGACCCTTTGATACGATGTCCAGTTTTTCTGGTCTTGAGAAATCTGTTTCTCCTCCTTCAGCCATTGAAGTTAAAAAACAGAGCTAGGTTAAAAAAATAAAAGAATCTACAGCAAGCAAAATGCTACAAATGTCATAACTTCTCTTACATATGTTTCAACATGAACTCTTACTAAACACTAAGATCTGCTAGCTAGCTTTGTGTTTGACAAAAGTCACGCTGGCCCACTGACCAATCACGGCGCATGTTAATGCAGACGTACTTAGGAGGCTACCTCGGTACCACTGGCACGTCAAAGAATACGCCCAACATGTCAAACTAAAGATCTGATTGGTTGAAGACTATGACAATCAACAATATCGTCCCCATTTACTTAAAGTGCAAAGGCTCTCTAGAGGACCTCGGGCCTCTCTTCTTACCTAGAGACACAGAGGTGAAATCTGATTGGATAAAAGCTCTACTTAAAACAAGCTGTGCTGTGCTGCAACTGAGGAAGACAGGAGCTGTGCAATGAGAAAATAAGATAATGGGAAAAATATTATAATACATGTCGTGTATTTATGAAAAATGATTAAATTACAAAATAGATATAACTTTGTGATTCTGTTTAGGCCAGCAGAGAAGGCCTTGCTGGCCCTGACGGCCCACCACTGCCTTTTGTATATTCCTCAAACAGCTGTGCTCAATGTAACTAAATCTGATGGCATTCATCCACATCTGAGACAGTAGGCCGCAGCACTCGCCTGCAAATTCAACAAACTTTGGACGATGATTTTGGAAAAAATGTGCAAGAATCTCAAGAGGTATGAACAGAATCTGATTTAGAATAAAATAATCTTCACAACTTTAGAAATCTGGGTCCTTCCTCACTGGAGGTCAGTATTTTCTCAAACTAAAGCAGATAGGTGGCCGCCTATTTCGGGGCCTTTAACGTCCTTACTAGGTGACGAGTTTAGGAGGTGTAGCTCTGTGAATGCATCACGTGATGTCCCACACGTGCCACAGATATATATATGTGCATAGAAAGTACAACACTGTCCTACAACACTGCCCCACCTCAACATGAAGGCTCGTCGTGTGTGTCTTTAACAGGAGCTCTGATCACGTATTAAGCTAACATGACGTGTGTTAAACTAGACCTTCCAAGCAGTGAAGTTGATCAACATATGTTGTTCAACTAGTGACATCGTGACACATGTTGATACAACGTTAGTTCTTTCCGTATCTGAATGTTCGGTCTTACCTAAAGGCAGAGCGGAGTGGACCAGGACGGTGATGCTGGTCCTCCTCACGTGGTACTGGATGAAGCCCACGTCCTCACTCCCCAGCCACGACGAAAACACATTCTGGATGGTGAGACCGGCCGAACGGAACTCGTTGGGCGTAAACACGAAGCAGAGAGAGAACACTACATAAGCCAGAGTAAAGGATAACTCCGGGCTCTCCATGCCTTCTCTAGGTACACCACTACCGTGGTGGGACCTCCTCTACTTCCTTATCAATGTCTTCTTCTACCCGTCCCTCCCCTATGTAAAGGTGAGTGCTGCCATCTGCTGCTCTACTTCTTCTGTTTGTTGTTGTTGTTGTTGTTGTTGTTTTTCCTTCTTCTTCTTCGGCTTTTTTCCGACAGCTGCCATCCTTTTATTTTGTATTACTGCCTCCTACCGGGTTTAACGCACACTGTTATGTGTTCGCTTACAGTTTTGTAAGTAGTCCGCTCGTTTTGAAAAGCTCCCACCCACCTCCATGGTGACACCTTTGACCCTGACCTGTCCTCGTGCTAACCCTCTGATTTTGAAAGTTTCATATTTATTTTCCGCAGTGAATAGCCCCTTTTTTGTTATTTGAACTATAAATATCAGAATCAGACTCAGCTTTACTACGCATGGAATTTGACTCCGGTTTCCACTTTGGTCTCAACGTACAAACACAAGTTTACAAATAAACAAGAGAAATATAAAAAAACATAAAACAAGGATAACAAAAACAGTAGAACAGATGTAAGTATAAACATTTAACGACTATGTACAGTATAAATATAATTATATATCCAAAAGCATATATATAACCTATACAACAACGACAATGGATATTGTTCTTGATAGTGGTAAAGTCAAAAACAGGAGAATGTCTAGTCAAGACAAACGGTGCTTTGGTTCCACTGCTTCAAAGCTGAGATCAAATGAGTCCAATCTTTTCTTAATGATGCGCATGGTGTTGCTGCTGCAGTTCTGTGTGCTGGCTCTGGTTTATGCTCTTAGATGCTTGTTTAAAAAATGAGATGCACTTATGACTTCTGGTGACTAGTAGTTTTCTTGAATATGTTGAATACACTTATTGTAAGTCGCTTTGGATAAAAGCGTCTGCTAAATGACTGTAATGTAATGTAATGCTGCAGTACATTTATTAATTTCATTTGATTAAAGTAATTAATTACGTAATCAATTGATATTTAATTGAATAATTAAATCAAAGTGATTAATTCATTAGTTGATTATTTAATTCATTTTAAGAATAAAAAAAATTAACATGAGCAGGATTTTCTTTTTAATAAATTCAGATTTTGTTGCTGGCCACAGAATTCTGAAATATTAACTTTGACCCAACAATATTATCATACTGTGCTTAAATACTTTCATCACCGACTTTAAAGAGTTAGGAACAGGATACATGATCATGTGAGGAATATACCTCTGAGGTTCTCCTCGCATTTACCTCGGTCAGTCCTCCTAGCTTCTGATTGGTTAGTTCTATCACGTGTCGTGTAGAAACAAGGAAGTGTTGTTGTTGTGAGCTTGTGGATCCGTCTGGAGAACAGTTAGGCGCTGGTATCCGCGTCCATCCAGCTACGTGTTCCCAATAGGAGTGACCCAACCACCACAGACACGACCCTGTGTTAGGTGGTGTTATGTTCAGGATTTGGTGACTTTTAGTCCCTGTAACTGTGGATACCGCCATTTGTGTGCACCCGGACTGTTGTCCGGTCGAGAGCAGCGGATGAACTGAACGCTCCTAGTAGTTGGAGGTATGAAGGATTTCTGCAGCTTTTCCCCTTTTTCATGATTTTTGTGACATTTGAACCAGACATTTTTCTCCCTCCATGTGTGACGATGAGAGTGAATCGGTTCATGTGCTGCAGTCTGAGGAGGTCAGTGGGCTTTCACAGCGGCTGGTGCTACCAGCAGGGTTTAACAGTAGAGCGTACAGTGTCCAGCTGTGTAAGTAATCAGGTCATCCAGCTGGAGACCCAGGGGCATCAATTACAAACACTTTATTTCCTGCATGCTGGTGAATTATTTAATCTTTTTTCTTATGAAAAGGAAAACACTAAATCCAGGTGCCAATCCAAATTATAACAAATATAATGGAAAAGTTGTAATATTAATTGAATAAAGTAGTAACTTAATTGTTATAAAGTCATAATATTTCAAGAACATAGTCTCCTGCCCTGTAGTCTGCTTTATGTAACTGCTCTGCTGATACTGATCAACAATCAGCCGTCGCTGGAGGTCCCTACCTCATTGTCAAATGTAACGGAGGAACTTTCTTTTGAAATATTGCTGAATCTGTGTAAAAGGGGCTTTTGACTGATCCAAAGTCAGAGTCTCTTCCAGACAACCAAAAGAAGCCTTTTCACCTCACTTTGATGTGGGATAACAGACATTTGCTCCATAGGTAGTTTGTTGGCCTAATATTGCTGGGATAAGTGGCTAAAAAGGAGAGTGCTAGTAATCATAAAACTCACAGTTCGGATCAAATCACAGATCAGATCAGCACAGAAGAAAAAAGGGAGCAGATATCACTTTTAGATCCCTGATCATGTCTTCTTTTGCCGCGGATACTAATTACCGATCATTGATGATCCATGCTGTTGTTTCATTATAGCAGCTGGTCTACAAGGCTCCAGACTATTTATTTTTTTATTGGCGGATAAAGATCATCAGTCAAATGTAATTCCACACATTGATGGTTAAGGTAAATTAAATCAACCGTGGTCCGTTACACCACTAGTAGTGGCGTAGCCGGCCGAGAGCTGAGCAGGCTGGCAGCAGATAGAGTTGAGCTGCTGATAAGCAGCTGGTTAGGCGAAGCAGGCAAGACCACGGAGTATTGGAGCCAAGGTGGAAGGACAACAAGATTAATATAAAGTCCAAGAATATACACGGTACAAATGTGGGATCTTTACTTTAAAAATAAATCTTAGTGGTAATGTTTGATTTTCAGTATGGGGGAGGTCAGAGATGTCCTGAACTCAAATAAGTCATGGTCTGGAATCATGTGGAAATGGAGCCATTCTAGAGTCAAATGTGGGACTGGATTTAGCCTACTCTACAGGTTCAGATTCTTAACACAAAATATGAATCAACTAATACACTATGATTAATAATTAAGTAGTATACAGCCGAATGATTTAGTAACTAGGATTAGCGCCACCCTTACCAGCTGCAACATTAAAGTGATGAACACAATAATAAAGATGGGAAGTGAAGAAGAGCATCCATCATACCATCATTTCTTAGAGTGCTGTGAGAATGCACTGCTGGAGTTACACATCGCTGAGAGGGACACGCCTCTAAGGACAGTCCCAGTGGTCTAAGTATCCCTATCTCACGACCATCTTTGATAACACCTTGAAGTCTGAGACAAACAGAACCTATCATTAAGAAAGGACACCGACGTCAATACTCAAAACTGACTTCATGCGGTGTCGGAAAAAAATCCATCCCCCAAATCTTCTACAGGTCCTTCATCGAGAGTATTCCGTGTTCCTCCTCCTTTTGCCAGTTCCCCTCCGAAGCTTAGTCTCATTGTGTGAGCAGCAGGTCAGGGCAAAGGCATGATGTGGGATAGCATTCATGTCTTCAACCCGAGGCCCAGATGCTCCTCTCCGGTGGTGCCTGTGCCTCTCAGGTGCTCTACCAACTAGCACAGAGCATCATTCCTTCCAGAAGCCATCCGCCTGGTACACGCTGGGCTCTTGAACTTGACAAAGTGCAGATGCATTGTCCCGACCTGCTGACACCAGGCATACAGAGCACAGAGAGTCCTGCACACCTGCTCTCAGTCTACACCCTGACAAGAGACACTCTAGTCCTGTCAGTTCTGTGCATACTACTTACTGCTCCTGTGATACTGATCCCAAGTCAGTTTCCTGTTCCCTGACGAGACCACAGCCTCTTGGTCCGGACTTACAGTGAGCTACACAGTCTGTCTCCTCTACATTCATGCTTCAACTCTCTGAGGCCTTCAAGAGTCCATGATGTCAGAGGCCAGTGGCTGGAAGGCTGTGTCAGAAACCACCATACTGACTCATGAAAAAAGGCACAAATGCTGAGAAAGCACTTTGGCAAGAGTACCACAGACTTAACATTTGTTATCGGTTGCTCTGTTGTAAACTTTTCAATCCACCCTCTAAGTCAGAGCTGCATCCGGTTGTTGTTCCTCATGCCTTCGAAGACACTGCTCTAAAGATATTCATAGAAATCCAGTAGCCGCTCATCTGTCTGGAGATAAAGTCCTGAAACCTGCTCAGCAACTGTGCTACCGGACATTCATGTCACATGACAGATGAGGCGTTAGTAATGTACTCCATGTGATGCAAGACGGAGTCCCACACCTCACCGGAGAGCTACAACTGTTGCTGCTGAGTCTTTCCAAAAGGTCGCAGCTGACACACTCTTCATCACAAGTCATAGCAACGTGCTTGTCACGCGTCTTTGATAATTATTTGTTCAAGTATGTCAACCTTTATGCCATTCCAGACCAGCGCGCCACGAAGGCCTCAAGATGTTCGTTTGAACCTTCATCTGTTAGCATGGTGTTCCAGATCCAGTCTGTACTAGTTCAACCCTGCTCAGCATCCAGACAGCATGAACCAGCCGGCATCACCCTCAGAGAGATTCAACAGAACACTCATTAGTCAGATTAACAAGACACGAGCTCAGCAGCCTGTGAATGGAATGAAGTTGCTTTGGCTTACAGCACAAGCCTTCACTCTGCAGCAGGTTCCTGTTGGTTTCTGCATGGAATAGGGGCGAGGCCCACAACCAGCAGAAACAACAGTATGACTAAAGTGTCCCTATGGATCCGGAGACCTTGTCTACATCAAAACAAAAAGTCCCCTTTGAAATATCGGAGTGCCTCAGATCAGATATCCGAGATTAATTTCCTCCTAGATCAGTGTGTAGGTTCTCAGGTTGTCCATCAGATTGTCCTTGGTTGGATGGTGGACATAAGAACCCTTATTGTGACTCAGCTGTGCCCCCGACCCCCTCGTTTCCCTGCATTGTCAGGAGCTTTGTCCTAACTGCTGCGTTCACACAAATCCCGGCGTTGCGACAATTTGCAGCAGGGTTGTGCGGCGGTGGGGGAGTGTCACTATTAGGGCGATCTAATGGATCAATTGAATGATGAAATACATAATACATGTAAGGCAAGAATGACAAAGCATGCATTCCCCCACAGAAGAAGCTGAAAACCTCGCCCACAATCCTCTAAAGCAGGGAAGCATTCAACACTGACACCCAACTATGGGCTTCTCTGTCAACTCTGCAAATTGAAAATGTCTGATCACAGCAGAACGATTGCCTCGCAGGAACACTTCCTCTCTTTGTCATCAGCGTGTCCTGTTTTCTTCTCGTGTCAATCAAAGCATGATATATTAGGATTTACTGTTTTCACTTCAAATCGATTTTTCTGATTATTTCTTCATGTTCATTTCTGAAAGGTTATTATGGTAACATAACGTTACACCATGCGTAGCAGTGTTATTCCTCTGCTTTATGTTTTCTCTCTCTAACAATTTAATCTACTGTTGATCTATTCGATGATTTCCTCACCCCACACTGATGCAGAAACACATTTGATTATCTTAACTGCATCTAACTTCAGAGATGAAATCAATCCAAGTCCTAACCATTCCAGTGTTAGGTGCTTCAGTGAGATACTGATGATTAGATGAACAGTCACAGTAATCCTGTGACTGTTCATCAGGTGTTTGAGAAATAGCGGTTAATATCTTGTGTATTTGGTTTTTGTTTTCAAGACAAGATGATTGAATAAAATATTGAAATATTAATCAGACAAGTTTTTGATATATATTTTGGGTAAATGAATGGTTGTATGAAATCAGTCATGTTTAGAATAATGGATAAATGTAGCAAAGGTAGTAGTACTTAATACACGTTTATTGTTTTTATGATCTTCAGCTTCATTCATCTCTCAGCAGATAGAAGATGAGACGGAGCGCTGCAAACACGCTGCAGAGAGGATCCATGTAGGCAGCTGTTACACCAGTTGGGCAGTTGTGGTACGTGCTAATGTTTAGTTTTTTACCCTCAGAGTTTTTTAAACTTTCTTGTACCAGACTATAGTTTTTGGTCCCAGACACACACACACACACACACACACACGTGTTAAGTTCTTCAGCGTGAGGGACGAAGACACAAAGCTCACAAGTTGTCACAGCTGCAAGTGTAAAATAAGCCGTGGAACAACTAGCTGATCAGACTCTTGTTGTAATTAATTCCCATCATGCTGCTCAGAGTCAGCACGAGTCCTGTTTATGACTGAGCTAACGGCTAACGTTAACGTTAACGGGCGCATCGACTTACATCATGACGCATTCAATGTCTCCTCTGTACTGAGTAAATATAAAGCTGTCATGATGTGTCCAAATGAAATCTTGTAAAATGTAGTTTTTGTGGAGAAATGAATGCATTTGTTTGAAGGAGATGTTTTTACAGTAATATAAAATAGACATTATTTAGGGAGTGACCTGTTTATCTTTTTTACACTAACTCTAAACAGCTGATCATTATGTAGCTAAAACTGATCTTCTTTTAATCAAAGCAAATGTTTTCAATACAATTTGACTTGTGTGTTTTGTAACCAATACGGTAAATGTGTAATGTTGATGGCTGTTTGCACTGACTTTGGGACAGTGGTAATCATGTGAGTGTGTAGCCTTGCTGTCAGTACACTTTCAGTTACACAAAGAACATCTGGACTTTAAAAGAATTGGAAATCTGAATTGACCAAGATTAACATATTGATGTGATACTTTCATCAGTGACGTTAAAACTGTTACAATAATCTGCAGAATCTACCTCTGAGGTTCTCCTCACATCTACCGCAGTCGAAGTCCTCCTAGCTTCTGATTGGTTAGTTTAGTCACATGTGAGGAAGTGTTGTTGTGAAGCAGTTGTCCTTCTCCATCCTGCTGTTTCTTCCCTACGAGTCGATCCAACCACCACACATCAGAAGCAATGAGTTAATAACTACTATAATACTCCTGAGGAGTAAATATTAGAATTATATATGTTTTCCTCATATTCCCACCTGTAATGCTTACAACATTTCCATGTGTTTATATCTGCAGAAGATGACCAAACCCAAAACCAAGGCTTGCCTCCACTGTCATGGCATGAATGCAGCGAACCGCAAAACATGCCAGTCGTGTTTTGCGAGCCTCTCTATGAAAGAGAGGATTAAGTTGAAGGAGGAGAGCTTGCGCTCTGGTGACTGGGGGGGGAAAGTGAAGGAGCACCGCAACGCAGGCAGAGTGGTGGATTCAGCCCGTATATCTGTAAGGACAATGTTCTCTCTCTGCTCAGGTCTTTACATGCCTGGATCATCTATTAAGGGTCCCGGCCCCCAGCATTATGGGTGGGCCCCAGGGAGCCAGGCCTTCAAAAAAGAGCACGTTAATGAAGAAGGCTCCTGGCCCCTACAGTCTGCTAAACCCTAATCCTTAAGTCCTCTTTACTTGTGTTGATCTGCTCGTCCACATTTTGGCAGCGCACCAGAAAATAGCTGTTCTTTATTTCCCAGGGTGCAGCATTGTGGACTGATCTCTATTTACCATCAATGACTTCACTGTTGTTTCCAGATCAGTGATAATGTGTGTGCATAATGCTATTATTAACTTCTTATTAATGCTATTATTAACCTCTTATTAACGCTATTATTAACTTCTTATTAATACTATTATTAACTTCTTATTAACGCTATTATTAACTTCTTATTAACGCTATTATTAATGCTATTATTATCTTCTTATTCACGCTATTATTAACGCTATTATTAACTTCTTATTAACGCTATTATTAATGCTATTATTAATGCTATTATTAACTTCTTATTCACGCTATTATTAACTTCTTATTCACGCTATTATTAACTTCTTATTAACGCTATTATTAATGCTATTATTATCTTCTTATTCACGCTATTATTAACTTCTTATTCACGCTATTATTAACCTATCAGACTGTATGTAGTCGTTGTGACGTCCCCCATTGGCTTGTGGTCTACTGTTCCTTGGATTTTTGTCTAGTGGGATGTACCCCTGGCCTTTGACATTGTTCTTTGTGTATACTGAAGTGGGTAAATAACATTGGCTTTCCATTATATTGTCATGTGTGGAGGTGGAGCTAAAGCTACTACACATACTGTACATCAGGCCTTATGTTTTCATCAATAACATCACATCTGGATGATTGTATGCTCTAAAAGGATTATAACAGACAATGCAGACTTCTAAGACGGATCCAGGGGGAAATGAATCTGATGATCTGATGTCCAGAAAGATGATACAGCAAAAACATCTGCACCCTGCAATCTTTAAAAGCCAAATTGCTCGTAGCAAAGTAGCGGATGTCGGGAACCTTTGAGGGAAGGCTAAGCTGGTTCTTCTTTCCCATATTGTGGGAGAGTGAGCGAACAGCGTGACCGTATTAATACAAACATACTTTCTTATTAAGCCAACTCTGTTCATGTCTATTTTTCTAGGTGAAGAAACTGCATGAGCTGGACTTTAAGCCTCTGCTGTTCATGGGGAGAGAGAGGAGAGGAGGCTGCTTAGCTGAGGTCATCACAGGCATCGGGCCCATCCCAGAGGGACCTGTGAGGGAGCTCATTAAGAGAATGACTGCCCTCTATGAGTACTTCCTCACAAGTGAGAACACATCTTTGTTTAACTTTGCCTTCACCTTTCCTTCATAAAGCCTTTTTGTAACATGATGAAATGTGACAAATGAAGTGTCTCTGTGGGGCTGTTGGCTATAAGAACATTCTCTCGTTATTCTTTATCTCTCAGATTACAGTGAGCTACTTGCCACGACTACAGCTCCATCTGATGAAGCAGCATCAGCACCCCCGGCCTCCTCCCAGGAGGAGACCCTCCCTGTCTTAAACGTGGAGCTCCCACCTCCCTCCTCTTCTCCTCCTACAACCCCTTCTCTCGTTTTACCTCCTCTTCCCACTCTCTGTCTCTCTACCCCTCCTACGACTCCTTCTCTTTCTTCTCTTCCTACAAACCTCTCTCTCCCTTCACCTCCTCTCTTCCCCCGCTCTCTCTCTTCACCTCCTGCAACTCCATCCCTCTCCACTCCTACAACCCTCTCTTGCTCCTCACCTCCTCCTGCAACCCCGCCTCTCTCTGTGCCATCCCCCTCTAACCCTCCCACCACCTCTCCTCCTGTCGAATGCGCGATGACAACGCAAAAGGAATTGCTGGGAAAAAGAAAAAGAGATGAAGCCACAGGTTGTCTTTTGTTTAATGTCATAATGCCCATCATCATCACTCATCTTCTGATTCAAAGCTAACGGAGCTCAAGGCCAGCCCACAGCATGAAAAATATAGATCAATATTTTATTTATTGATTATTTATAAAAAATATTTGAAGCAGATCATGTAGTTTGTTACTTATTGTGTTGATGCTTATTTTCAGGCTGCAAACAGCACACCTGGCAGAAGCTTTTCTTTTTTGAGAAGATAATAGAGAGGAGGTCAAAGCAGGTAAGATCAGCTGTTTGATCTGATTCATGTCGTGTTAGTGCGGCTACATTACAGACCTGAGGTCTACATGAGCAAAAGATTTCTAGTCAATGTTTGCAACAGCCGCACAACTCACTGGTATAGTGAAGGACAGCTTTGATGGTCCATGATTAACTGCTCGCTGGCTTCCTTCGGAGATGATCCTTCAATATGACTCCTCTGTGACCCTGTCGAGTGCTGAGAGACCTCAGAGTATGTAGGTTCATCTCAATGTTGGGCTGAACACCAAGACTCAGAAAGGTGTCTTCACTTCAGCAGAGAAGTCTTGATTCATTGTGGGGACAGAGTGTGCAGCAGCTCAGCCCTTTGAATGAACTGTTGTCAATTGTGTCCTTCCTTTGCTCTACAGGGAATAGAGGAGGTCAGAGTGCACTGGAAGTCTTGTTCAGCTTGGTGAGAGACTCTACTTTACTACTTGGTCCAACCTACAGTATGAGAAATATGATCAACAGCCAGCGTCATCACCAGCGCCCTGTGAAAGCCTTTAGCTCTGTGGTGGAAAGAGTTCCACCACAGCGTTGTTAGTGTTGTAGACATGCTGAGAGCTGCACACTGATTCCTCTCACTGTGACTCTGAATTTCAAGGGAAAGTAGGAAGTTGCATGTTTCCTATTTAGCTCCAGAATGTCATAGATTCACAGGATAGGATGGATTAAACACGCACTGCCTGTGTGGCTCTTTCAGGCTTTGTAGACAGAAGCTATGTGGTGCAGGTTGCAGTCATGTTGCTACGTTGTTCACTGTAAACAAGAAAGCAGCAAACCTGGAGGAGCTTGGAGCTGTCATCCTGTTCTTCGTGATGAGGAATGCATTGATATGCAGCAGGAAACGGAATAAGGACATTTTTTAAATGGTGTTTTCTGCTGGCTAGATGTTTATGGATGTGACTACACATCTGTGATGATCAAGAGCACTGTAGCTCCGCTTGTGCTATAGAACTATATGCAGATAGATGCTGTATACAGACGGGTCCGGCCGTCAGAAGGGATAGCTGTTTGGTGCCAACACCACCATCAAAATGATATTCAAACCATTTATCATAACAATGTTATTATTGTTATTATGGTGTCATGAATTTTATCCAGAAGCTATTGAACCAAATGTGGAGTCATCACCACTGTCACCATGAGATTACTGCTGTATTATGAAGTAACAGCAGCACATGTGTTAACCTGTAGCAGAGCACGGCCCTCTGAATGTGAAGAACAGGACAAGATGCTGGAATGAGTGTTTAAACCTCAGGACACAACCAGTTTAAACTGGACCTCGATATCATCGGGTGAGACGGTGGAGCAGACCTTCATCTCTCTCCACTGAGCTGAACAGCAAGACACGCCTTCAATAAGAGGGACCAACTATTCCACTCAAGAACTCAATCTATTCAGTCTTTCCAGTGCAGAAGGCCGAGGGTCAGAGGAGCAAGCTGACTCATCATCTCTTCACTCATTTGAGACTAGGACAACATGCTATAAGAGCCTCCACATTAAAGGATTCACACTTTCCTGTATGTCAACATTGAAACACTTTGATGAGCTTACTTTCATAAAACATGATGACATCAGACTTGTAAGAGCCTGTTGGATCTTTGTTACATGGACCATCTGTGTGTTATGTGAGAGGGTTAGGGTTAGCCTTATAACTCAAGTTCGATGAGCAAATGTATTTACTAATTGTTGCCATGTGTGCTCTTCTTCACAGTGGCAAAGAGTGGGAGGACACCTGGGAGCCTGCTGTTAATTATTCGCTCTAGCTGTCGCTAGCTATCGTTTATGAATTCACATTTTTAAAGACTTGTTTATATGTAATTGGAACAGAATTTATTCACTATTGAAGTCTTGTAGCTTCATACTCTTTGTGTCTAACTTTGTCCCTTTTTATTAATTTTGTGATACAATTCATAAATTCCTATTATTATTTCTTTCTTTATTTGTATGTATTATTTTTGCTTTATCATGGAGATATTCATTTATGTATGATGGGGGGGGTAATAAACACTTTTTTCAATCCCCTTCCTGGATACTGTAAGATAGAAGTATGTTGTGATGTAATGTAAGATGTGATAGAGGCCATGTTCAGCTCATTCTCACATTGATACTTGTGTACCTGTATTCTCCCTCAGTGTGAACCGCTCCGGGTGAGATACTGAATGTTTTCTTTAATCACATGTTTTCTGATCCACACATAATGTGACCGGCTCGTCTTATTTCACCGTTTGTGGTTCTGGGACCTCCAGATACACAAGAACTGAAAACATTATTTGTATTATATGTCCCATTTAAGACTGAATTGAGAGGAACCACAGATACTCAATAACAGTATTTGCTGGTATTAGTCATACAGTACATTAACGTATCATTTGAACCTTTCAGGACAAGCTGATTTCAGGTGAAGTTTTTAAGACAATCCGATGTTATTCAGCTTCACACACACACTCGTGTCCAATTGTTTATGATTTTAAATTGAAACTTTTACTTTTGATTTGCTATTTCACATATTGAACTGATTTTTAGATGGAGAATATAGGAAATGTTTATAAAATACAATGCTTTGCTGTAGATGAAACTACCCGACAGAATAAACACTGTGAAGAGATGAGTGGATGAAGTGATTGACGTTAGGGGTTAACTGCTGGTTGGACGAGCTGTGCAGAGCTTTCACCTCTGTGACAGAATTCATTGTTACTTTGTGAACGCGTTCAAAGCCTAAACACCGAGCAGATCAATGCATCAGCTCCAGGCCAAGTCCATATAAATGGTTACGAACTGTCTACTAAAGTAAGTGATCAGCAATTTTGGAACGACTGCACGATGGTCACTTGGTCATAGTGAAGTGCTGGGACAGAGCATCTGGTGGTCTTGCATCAGCAAAAGTGGACCTAACACTAAAGCGTTCATGACAATCCCTTTGGCAGAAAGAGACTGACTTCTCTAGAGATCGACCAGACATGATGTTCCCGCCCTAGCACCACCTTTGAAAGGTGGGGGTCCCACTATCCTGATGACCTAAAACTGACCACAATTCTGCGGCTTATGACTTATATCACAACCTCACAGAGCTACCCCATCCAGCCAACAGGTTAAACTCCAGCCCAATTGATGCTACGCGTCAAATACAAACGCCCATTAATACACTTAAAGAACAGCTTATTCCCAGTGGACGGACATCACATCACCAGGTGAAGGCAGTAGACTGCCTATAGACACCACGACAGACGCCCGTTGCCACTGCTCAAGCCTGGTGACTCCTTGACAAGCGGAAAGGATGGACTACAACTGCTGCTGTTCTGCACAAATGCAACAACCAAAGATCTTACCTCATCAGCACTAACGCTGGCGGCCTTCATTGGTTGGTACCTGCTTCTCCTGACTCTGCCACCTCCTCAGCCTGAACTTGAGGACGGAGAGGAAACATATGACAAACGAGGCAGAGACAGAAACAAGACAACAGACATCAGCTGCTGTCACCATGTCAAGAGGCGGAGCGGTCCAACAGCCGTCTCACTTGAAGGACTTTGTAGACATGGAGTCCTAGTTTAGGTTCTTGTGATTGTTTTGAGTAAGAAAAGAACTGAAATCATTCAAAATGTTCACAATAGTACAATAATAGTATTGCTCAGGCCTGTTACAGAGGATTTTATTACTTTAGTATTTGCTTTATTTTGGTCTTATCTTTAGTTACTCTAAGAAGGGAAGGTATAATTTAGTGAATCACGTAAATAATAGGGACTAGTTAACGCTGCGCAGCTATCAGGGACTCAAGTGTTGTCTGTGGACAGTGTGAGCATGCATTACCCAGCAGCAGCCATGAGTGTCTACAATATGGCTCCTATTAATGCTAACTGTGGATACTGGTACAGACTGGTCCTTAAACACAGATACTTGAAGACCTCCAGAAAGACTCGCGCTCGGCTACTCGCACGCTGTACTCATATATTACAAGTTACGAAGTTACAAGGTTTTTATTTGCCATTTTACGACAGGGTTGCAAAACGAAATTTAGATTGTAGTCCCAATTTGCTGCATATACAGTACATCTCTCTATATATATATATATATATA